AAATGGGCATTGGGCAACCATAGGGGTAGAAAGCAAAGTTGTAGAACTAAAGAGAATGTTCTAGAATACCCTTTAAAATACACCACCACACTCACTCTCTCTATAAACCCTAGTCTTTACATCTCTACTCTTTGCACATTTCTCTCTCTACTTCCTCTCTCTTATCCACTCCTCTGCAGAGATAACTCACCACGAAAATGGCTTCAGCTAACGCAGTTTCTACAGCCTCCATCCTTCCTTCGCCTTCCAAGCAAGTACGTCTGCGTATTCCTAACCGCTTCTTCTTTCAGCATTTTCTCGATTTAATTTTTTTTAATTGTTTTATGTAATTTATTTTCCGGTGTTTTTTTTTTGTTGTTGTTGTTCCAGTCGGGATTGAAGAACAGGAAAGTTAGCCAATTGAGGCAGGGGCAGAATTTCGGTTCGAAGCAAGCGAAGAATCGGTTTGTGGTGAGGGCCAATGCTAAGGAAATTGCGTTTGACCAGAAGTCAAGGTCTGCGATGCAGGCTGGTATTGACAAGCTCGCCGATGCTGTCGGTCTTACTCTTGGCCCTAGGGGTAATTTCTTGGTTCACTTTGTTTTGTTTCAATTTTGAGCTGACTTTCCTGAATTGTTTGTTTGTTCTCTTCAGTACTATGGTGTTGTGGGATGAGTGGAGAGTAATGTAATTGATGACGATATAATTGTTTAAAAAATTGTCTGAATATCGATAAGTCTTGATAGTTTCAGTGGTACACATTACTCAGGTTTGATAGTTCGATTTCAAATTACTTTTGAGGGAAATTGATGTTGATTAGTTGTTGCTGATTTTAGAGTTCGTTGTACTGATTGCTTTAACATTGTAATCCTGCATAAAACTAATTTGAGAGATGATATAGTTGACTGTTTGTGTGAGTAAATTCATTGATGGCGATTTGTAATTGTTTATTTCTTTTGTAGGCACCTTTTTTTATTGGTGCGTTGCACGATAATCAACGCGTTTATGCTTTTTCTTGTATAAAGAGACCGACAATCTTGTAGATAGAATGTAGTTTTCTTGGATTGAAAGAGTGTAGATTATTTAGCTAGTGGGACTTCTGCTAGGTGTGATTGTGGTGACTGTAGGAAGAGTACTAGCGTTTCATTTTTCAGCTTATCGATGATTTTTATTTGTGCTGATGAATGATTTTCTTTTCTTACTATTATGTAGGAAGAAATGTTGTCCTGGACGAGTTCGGTGCCCCAAAGGTGGTTAACGATGGTGTCACAATTGCACGTGCCATAGAGTTACCCGATGCCATGGAAAACGCCGGGGCTGCTTTGATTAGGGAGGTCAGTACGTAACTTATTTTTCATCGATATATGTATTCTGCATTAATTTATATTATATAACTTTGAATTTTGTTTAAAGGTTGCCAGCAAGACAAACGACTCTGCTGGTGATGGAACCACCACAGCATCCGTTCTTGCTCGTGAAATTATCAAACTCGGCCTTTTAAGTGTTACGTCCGGTGCGAATCCAGTCTCGTTGAAGAAGGGAATCGATAAAACTGTGGTCGGTTTGATTAACGAGCTCGAAAACAGAGCCAGGCCCATTAAGGGTCGTGACGATATCAAAGGTATTGAATTTTATTTTTATTTTTAATCCAGTTATATAATTTAGCCTCTACATTAGCTAATTATTTAATGGTTACATTGACAAATCCGAATTGCAGCTATTGCTACAATTTCTGCTGGAAACGACGAGAGCATTGGAGCAATGATTGCTGATGCAGTTGACAAGGTGGGACCCGACGGTGTTCTGTCCATTGAGTCATCGTCTTCATTTGAGACCACCGTTGATGTAGAAGAGGGAATGGAGGTAATACAAAAATACTTCTCGTTTTTCTCTACCTATCTTGTTTACTTTATTTGTACCTTTAGTTCATATTGGATCATGTTTTTTTAAAAATCATGTTGGCAGATCGATAGAGGATATATATCACCACAATTTGTGACCAACCCAGAAAAGCTACTTGTTGAATTCGAGAATGCGAGAGTATTAGTTACCGACCAGAAGATTTCTTCGATCAAGGACATTATTCCCTTGTTGGAAAAGACCACTCAGTTGAGATCACCTTTGCTCATAATCGCAGAAGATGTCACTGGAGAGGCTTTGGCCACTCTTGTTGTGAACAAGCTCAGAGGAATCTTGAATGTGGCTGCGATCAAAGCACCTGGTTTTGGAGAAAGGAGAAAAGCCCTTCTTCAAGATATCGCCATTTTGACTGGTAAACGAAAATCTTTCTTAAACTAGACTTATCAAATCGGTCTAAGGTTTTAAATTTATACAGGACTTTTGAATTCTGCAGATTTCGATGTGAATATTTCCGATTTTACAACAATAATTTTCATTCCAAATTTCTGATTTTTCCGAGTTTTTTGGGAATGGTCCCGAAAAATTAGCAGTTTCGGATCCGATTTTGATTTGACAAATAGTCTCGGAAATTAAAAAAAAATCCGAAAAAAATGCGTTTTTATTATGTTTTCATTCCAATAGCCAAGAGTCTGATTTTTCTGATTTTTTGGAATTAGTTTTCCACTTCCCGAAAAATTTCAACTTTTTCGAAAATGCTAATTTTGATCCGTTCTGCGTCCAATTTCAACCCCTAATCGGTCAGAAAAGAAGCATATATTAATTTGTAGCCAATTAATTCTTAGGGTTGGAGTTCTTTACTATTTGTGGTGCTATATTATTTCAGGAGCTGAATATCAAGCTTCTGATTTGGGCTTACTTGTGGAGAACACCGATGTGGACCAATTGGGTATAGCAAGAAAGATAACAATAAGCAAAGACTCTACAACCATAATTGCTGATGCTGCATCCAAGGATGAGTTGCAGGCTAGAATTGCCCAACTGAAAAAGGAGTTGTCCGAGACTGACTCGGTTTACGACTCTGAGAAACTTGCCGAGAGAATTGCTAAATTGTCCGGTGGTGTTGCTGTAATTAAAGTTGGTGCTGCAACTGAGACCGAGCTGGAGGACCGTAAACTTCGTATTGAGGATGCCAAAAATGCAACTTTTGCTGCTATCGAGGAAGGCATTGTGCCAGGTGGTGGTGCCGCATTGGTGCATCTCTCGACTTGTGTTCCTGCAATAAAGGACACTATTGAGGATCCCGAGGAGAAACTCGGTGCTGATATTATCCAAAAGGTAACGATCTTTGAACCCTTCCATAAAAGCTAAAAAGCTTGCGATTAGATTAGTAGCGGTCCTCATTTAATTTTGTAGATAGTAACTAGAAAGGAAATAAAGACAATTTTATCCCTTGAAAAACAACAAAATAGGATTTGATTAGGGGTGGGAATTGGGAACGAAATTCCGAAAATCCGCCGATTTTGATTCGATTATTTCTGATATTGGAACAACATTTTTCATTCTGAATCCCGGAAGTCCTGATTTTCGATCTCTCCAATTTCGTTTAAACTGAATTGGAATAAAATTATTCTGATTACATTTTGGTTTAAGATTATATTATATTCTGATTATTTCTACGAAATCTTTTTCACATCGACTGGATATATTGTGTCTTACAGGCCCTGATAGCACCAGCGGCCTTGATAGCCCAAAACGCCGGAGTAGAAGGTGAAGTGGTGGTGGAGAAAATAAGGGCAAGCGAATGGGAGTTTGGGTACAACGCAATGACAGATGTGTACGAGAATTTGGTGGACGCAGGTGTCATTGACCCAGCTAAGGTCACCCGTTGTGCGCTGCAGAATGCCGCCTCTGTCGCCGGAATGGTGCTCACCACACAGGCCATTGTTGTCGAGAAAGCTAAGCCCAAATCTGCTGCAGCTGCTGCCGCCGCCGCCCAAAACGGTATCGGAAGCTATTCAGTTTGATCGGTGATGGAAGAATAATTTGTTTTTTCGTAGCTTTCTTGTTAGGGTTATTTACGTCGGAGGGAAGTTAATTTTTGTTCGGACGAGGAATTGTTAAATGTAAGATGTCGTTAAGAACGCAGTTTTGTTATATGATGTCGGATTTTTCGAGTGTATGTTGTGGTACTTGCTTACTTACATTTGATCAATAAAGCAATTGCCAATAAGGTAGACTTTCTTGAATATGAGGAAATGATATTGATAGTGATATGGTTAAATTATGTAATAAATAAATATTATTCAGTTATTTATTTAGAATAATATGGCGTTAATATAACTATTTCTTAATAAAGTAAAATTATATTCAACTAAAAATCGTAATAGAATAACATAATAAATATTCATTTACTATGGTCTTTAATTACTTTTCAAAGTATTTAATGTAACAAATAGTTTAATTGTAAAAAAGGACATGGATAAAAGTTTATTTATTTATTTCCCCTGATTTATTGATTTCAAATCCACCCCCACCCCCACCCCCACCCCCTCGGCGTATTATATAGTCGTGGACGCATACAAGTTGCGATGCGTGGAAGCTGGTCGCAGTGCAAATGGCGAAATCGCCTCGGAAACCGCTCCATTTTCCTTCTCCGTCTCTCCGTTTTCTCCTTTCTCCGTTCAACCGTTGCTTCTTCTACTCGTAGCGTGCCTCACCGGAGCATCTCGATTCGCATTCTCTCAGGTCTGATTTTCTCCCCTATTTTTTCTCCGACCACATTTCAATTGCGGTGGTCGATTCCGTAATTTCTGATTGTGATTGTAATTGCAATTTTTTTTTCCTGAATCGTATTTAAAAAAAAAAAAAATCAATTTCTGTGTAATATGTGTGTTTATGTTTTTGGTTTGCGTGCATGGGTGTGGAATCTGTTGAAGAATGGCGGTGCCGGAGGGATTGACGAAACTCCTGTACATAATAGTGTTGGAGGACGAAGCCACGGCGGGTGCAGATAAGAACGATACGCCGTCGTTTCGCTACACGCGCTCTGTTCTCCAGAGTACCCTGCAACTCATCGGTTGCAAGCCTCGTCATGCCTTTAAGGTCTCAACCCGCTGTTTTTTCGCATTTATTTTCTCGAATAGAAAGTTGTTATCTTTTTTCTTTTATAATTCTGATATTGTTTTGTCAAATAGTTAATCGATCGTTTTCGTTTTCGAACTCGGCAATCGACGAAAGAAACATGTGATATCTGATTTAATAATGTTAACCATATGTTACATATTGAAGTGCATATATATGTTTTTAGATTATGCATCGTTTCCGATTTCTATATTATATTCTAATTATGTGTCCGAAAAAATTACTGTTGTACAGATTAGCCAAAGGGTATTCGAGATGGTAAGACAAGGAAGCCCGGTGGAGACGTTGGTTTACACGACATGTATAGGTGTTCCACAACAAGATGTAGATGCCAGTAATTTAGATTTAGACGAAGATAAGAGTAAGAGCCGACCGTTCGAGCTGTACAAAAAACGGACCACTGTTGTTGTAAGAAGAAAGTTTTTTCTAGATGTTGTTTGTGAAGCCCTCTCCGAATACAAGTACGTCGGCCCAAATCAGAGGGCTGATTTGGTCATTGCTTGCAGGTAGACAGTTCGTTCATTGTATGCGTACGAAATGATTTATTAAATGTTTTATTTTCATGTCTCGTTTTCTCTGTTTCAGAATTCGAGAAAGGAAGGAATCTGTAACTGTATTACTCTGTGGCACAAGCGGCTGTGGAAAATCAACACTATCTGCCTTGCTGGTTGATATTCTTTGTTATTTTTCATAATCCCTTTTTATTAATTCTTCGAGTATTCAATTCAATAAAATTGAGAAGCATCGTCTTTGCAGGGTAGCAGATTAGGTATAACAACCATTGTGTCGACCGATTCGATTCGACACATGATGAGAAGCTTTTTCGACGAAAAGGAAAATCCACTACTTTGGGCTTCGACTTATCATGCTGGGGAATGTTTAGATCCAATTGCTGTTTCTGGAGCTAAGGCCAAACGTAAAGCAAAGAAATCAAACAGTGTTAATAAGCACGATGCACTTATTAACCACACATCTGGTAATAAATCCAACGGAAATAAAACGACCAGCGATTTAATTAGTCCAAAGCAAATGGCAGTAGAAGGATTCAAAGCACAAAGCGAGATGGTAATTGATAGCCTCGATAGGTTGATAACTGCGTGGGAGCAAAAGAAAGAATCAGTTGTGGTCGAGGGTGTTCATCTAAGTCTCAATTTTGTGGTAATAATTCATTACGTTATTATTATTTTTTTTTTCCGCATATTAATTGGGGAAATGGATGTGGTAAATGTCGTTTCAGTTTTAATAATACCGTTTCGACAAACTTGATTTTTGACCATTATTAGTCTGAATTTGGCAATACTCAAAACACGGAATTTGTAGTTCTCTGAGTTAGCTTTCTAGTCCAACTTGAATCACTATGATTGGATGTAGAGTGAGAAAGATATGCATGGCCCATAAGTTTGATATTTTGAGCTATCTAAAATTCAGAATGTGACTCAGTCATGCATACCTTTATTATCCGGCATCCAATCAAACTGATGCAAGTTGGATTAGAAAGCTTACTCAAAGTACTACAATTTTCGTATTTTGAAATTTTCCAAAATCAGACCAGAAAATGGTCAAAATAAAGTCTGAATTCAAAACGGTATCGGTAAAATTGAAACGACATTTTAGTTAGGAAAAATGTTCATATTCGATTAAAAATCTTGTTGCAGATGGGGCTAATGAAGAAACACCCTTCAATCATACCGTTCATGATCTACATCTCAAACGAGGAGAAACACTTGGAAAGATTCGCAGTTCGAGCAAAGTACATGACTTTGGACCCCGCCAAAAACAAGTACGTAAAATACATACGCAACATCCGAACAATCCAAGAATACCTATGTAACAGAGCGGACAAGCACTTAGTGCCGAAAATAAACAACACGAACGTGGACAAAAGTGTGGCAGTCATTCAAGCCACAGTTTTCAGCTGCATGAGAAGGCGCGAATTGGGAGAGCTTCTTTACGATCCAACGACAAACACGGTTACTGTTCTGGACGAGGAGTACAGGAATCAGCGTACAGCGAACTCACTGAGTTCGGAAGGAATGTTTCAGTTGATTCAGAGGCAAGGTTCGAGCAGGCAGCTTATGGCACTTTTGAATAACGATGGCTCCGTGGCGAAGGCGTGGCCTCTTAAGCGGTATGCTGATAGGGATGGAGTAGGGACGCCTATGTATGGGCCTTTGAAGATTGGTAAATCAGAGCCCGTGAATTTGCAGTTTGGTCACTTTGGGATTAGTGCTTGGCCGAGTGATACGGGTGGCACGAGTCATGCAAGTAGTGTTGATGAGTCGAGAGGTGAGTTGACTGATAATGGTAGCAGATGCTTTTCTTCTTGCTGCAGCTCCCCAAAGGGTTCTTCCAAGGAGGTTAGTTAGTTCATTTTTTGCTATCTATGTGTATCGATTTAATTTAGTTGAGAAATATCCAAATATAATAATTCCCGATATTGCCAATTTACCTTTTACGTTTGCAGAAGGGAGCATTTTCTGTGGATGGTAGTGATGAAGAGGCCGAGGAGTCACCCGAGGCAGACAGTGACGAAGATATTAACGACGGGGATAAGCATCTCCAAGAAGATGTAATCGCACATTAATATGTCATTTTAAATGCATGTGAAATTCATGTTATTAATTACGATATTGTTTTTATTTTTATTAATGTAAAACAGCTGGAAGGCTCGGTGGACGAGGAATCAACAAAATTGGACGAAGAGTACGATGACCTGGCAATGCAGGATTTTCCGGACAACAACGGTTACATATCGGACGACGAGGAAGATTTCTACTACCAAACGGAGCTCAGTGGAATGTTGAAACACGTTTCGAAAAACCTGTCGAACAAGAACGGGCTTCTTGGAGACAAGTACCAACAGAATCTTAACCTATTCCTGAGAACAAAACACGAGTCTTTTTCTGATACGCTAATGTGCTCTTTTTTGTCGCCTCTCAAAGCGGTGAAAAACGAGAGAAGGGCTATGCTTGCTTCTGGGAATCGTAAACTGAGAAAACGTTCTCAGAGCATGGATCGATTGTGAAAGCGAAAAAAAATAAGGTTGCTGTTTTTAGTATTTTGGTTAACGTATTGAAGAGTTGTGTATATTTTTGTCCTAAAAATGTGTTTTGTAGTTTGTACTTCGATCCATTTTGTTCGAGAAAATTAGGGTTGAGTTTCTTAGATTTAGGTGTCTGTTGTTGAGCAAGTTTTGTAACAATGTGTGGTGTTTGTGAGTAATTTCCTGGAAGTATCCATATTATAATGTATTTTGTATAAGAGGTGACCAAACAAATATTTCGACGAAAATTTTCGATTTTGTGAACAGTTTTTCGTTTCAATTTTCGATTTTTTGGAACTGAATTGGAACTAGTTTTCTACTTCTGAAGAAATTAGAGTTTTTCTAAAAGTGCTAATTCTGATCCAATTTCCCACCCCAAAGTTCTGCAGACGCTGCAACGAGTAAAATATCACCGAGTAAATATATATATGTCCGGTCAATTTACACACAATCACACACACATACATACGTACTTAGATGTAGATGTATTTAAAACTGAGGATTCTATAAAATTGAATATCACTACTAGCTAGCTCGATAAAGTTTATAAATGGGATGTTACATAGAATAATTCATGCTATATATCCCACTTCTCTTTGCCACTTTTAACTAGATCTCTTTTGTACCAAAAGATCTCTTAGTGTGTGTGTGTGTGTGTGTGTGTGTGTATGGTCCTAGATTTTTGCATGAAAAAAACAGTACCCTCTTTTCACCATTAATACAAAGCATATGATGCACGGTGCATATAATTGGACCACACCTATTTAAGGACCATTGTCCTACTGAATATATTTCACTTTATGCAGTTAGGTTAGGTCTAAATATTGAGCCCTTTCAATATTTATTTTATAAATAAATAGTTTTACACGATTATTAATTGTTAATTCCTCTTTTGTTTTTGGGGGGGGGTGAGTGTATTCCCTACAGACATTATTATTAACCTTCCTGCCATTATATTGTTGTCTGAAGGCATGATGTTTCTCAGGAAAATGATATATATTTATTTATATGTGGAAATTAAATTCAATTATTTGTACGATACATATTTAAGCAAATTAATTTCTGGTCTGTCATCTGTGGGGTTTATCTGATGTACGAATGTACAATAACGACTATTCATATCAAGATATATAGTAGTAGTAGCTAGAGAGGGGTATATACCCCCCCCTTTTTTTTTTCTATATATATTATATTTACAAGATACTATTTAATAATCACAGTAATTAATTAATTAGATGAGGATAACATTGCAATTTGCAATCTTCGTTCGGTCTTTCGTATAAATAACACAAGATGAAATACCATTTAGCAAACCCCAACACTCAAATAACACGCGATTAACGATATATATACAGAAGCCCGTTCGTGGTGTCAGTTTCGATAACCTCAAGCTTCATATGTTAAGTTTATATATATATGCTCAATAAAAAAGAAAGTGAAATAATACACGATAAAATGTAGGTTGGATCGAGCTCGATTTTCGACAACTGATTTATTGCCTGTGTAGACTTTTGGCTCCACTAGTACTTCTGCTTTTTTCACACATGTGGGGTTGATTCTTGTACAATCCCATATTTCAATCCCTAAAGATAACAATTATATCAAGAATTGTACGGATAATTCTCGCGATAATTGTTAAGAAAAATCCTCGTCTAGCTGTTTGTAAACGAAACGTGCTTACTTGGAAGACCTCAGACGCTACCAAGAAAAAAAAGGCATTTTACATAACAAAATAATGGTATGAAATGCATAATTTGTCACAAGAATTAGTTAATTAACTTATCTAAAAGAAATTCAAGCATCACATGAAATACTGATACAGATAGATGAAGGGATAAAGTGTTTGAGGGAAGGGTAAAATGGTCAAAGTATAAATCATACTCACAATAATGCAACATCATTCCCAACATTCTGTACTGCCAAAGGGATTGATATTTTTTTTATATATATTTTTTTAAAATTTGTTGATCAAGTAATATTGAGTTTTGAATTATTTTCTTGCAATCAGAAAAGTAAGACGACGAGTAGTGTCGATCATTCGTACACAAATCATCGGGAAAAAGGAAAATTAAGAATAGTGTACGTAAAGACAGATTCTTTATTAATTTAGCCTCGTAAATATATTTCGTGCTAGTTTAAATGTAATATAAAGCAACAACTACGCAGCTAATAACGCATAAAATCGATGACGAAAAAACGTTCACGATATCACGAGACGGTAAAATCTCGAATAATATCAAGAATCAACATCTATATAATAATAATAAATGCTGATCCTCAAACAAAGCTGTGTAGTGATAATGAAGATTTAGTACATGTTGATAATAATAATAATATACCTTAATTAAAACCAAACATTACTGTCATGTTTTCGACAATTATTTGTTCCAAGAATCCACTTGAATTTCTCATAGAAACTAGTTTTCATACATCACAAAGAATATATATATATATATATATATATATATATATACACACACACACACACACCACTTGGTTGGAGCAATTGTTCCATAAAATAATCAAAGTGTGTTCACACAAAACCAAATTTCTATGAACAAAAAACAATACATAAAAAAAAAACATAATTAATCAGCATTTCTTGACAACTGTTCCTTTTCTTATGTTTTTGTCTGATCTAGGGCTTGCTTGTCTTGCCCTCGAAACCGAACCCGAATATTCGTTTTCACTGTTAATTCAAAACAAATTAAGAGGGAGTACTGAGAATGGATTTTACTGAAAGAATTAATGGAATATAAATATATAATTAACCAGTATTAATGCTGTAAAAAGACTTTCTTTTTTCAGACAAGTTACATCAAGAAACTTTCTTTTTACAGAGGTGAATAATAATAATCACAGATCTGTGTTTTAAGGGGTTTTTTGGCATCTGCAGAGTGAAGTTCCAATCAGTAGTCAATCTTTGTCGGTTTTTCTACAGAGAGAAAAGAACGAATATGCAGATTGAGGCTAAATTAAATGATATAAATAAATAAATAAATAAAATTTTTACCTTATTGATA